TTTGGGAGGTTAGGGAGCGGGGCAGCACAGTGCGGGCAATCGAAGAAAAGGAAAAGAGGGAGGTTACGTCTTAGGAAAAACTGTTTTACTAATTATTTTCAACTTGCCAGAGGGTGCATGTGCCCTCTGGAGAGAGATGGGGGGCCGGGGGAGTAAGAAATCACGCTCACGGGGCATGGTCACACTGCAGGCCCTTTTCCTCCCTGTCTCCCTCCTTGCAGGTTTCTGGGCACACACACACACACTCAGAATGTTTCTTTTTTCTTTCTTTTCTTTTCTTTTTTAGGTTTTTGCCATAGGGCATGTACTAGAGAGAGACAGAGAGCAGGAAAGTGAGAAGTCGCCCCCCACCACAGGTGGATGGCCATGCCACAATCCCTCCCCCGCTCTCTCCATACGACTCTGGGCACATGCGCCCAGCATGCTGTTCACGTCACCGGCCCCAGGACTCAGACCACAGTCGGCCATGTGGGAATCCAGCACCATAACCACCACGCGACCTGTTGCCCTCCATATCCCCACCATGTTTAAGCCACTGGGTCAGAGATTCGAACTGCATCGTGGCCCTGTGAGATCCAGCCACTCCAGGCTACCAGCTGGCCTAAGAAACATTATTTCAAACCCAGCAGATCTAATCTCTGGCTCGAAAGGGGAACCTTGTAGATCCAGCCGCAATGAAAATGCAGTCCTTCCCGGCAGGAAACGCACTCACGCCCGTTATGCCAGGTAGTCTCTGGAGCGGCCAGGGAGGCAGAGCGGCCAGTGCACTCTCAGAGGCTGGCGAATGCCAAAGCGAGCCCAAGGTCACCTGACTGGCAAGCTCAAGGTCACCTGACCACAAGCCCGGCCCCTCTGACCTATCGATGTTTCACGGGACTCCAGCATGCTCTCCAGTAGGGAAGCCCCCAAGTTTTGAAAACCGAGCCTAAAATGTCCTCGAATGGAGCACGATTGTTTCAAGGCACATTGTTCAACAATAATTTCAAGGGAATAGTGATCCAATTCCGCTGCGTTTTCTTTTTCTTTTCCTCTCACCTGAAGAACGACCTCTATTTTGAGTAAGAAGGCAGAATACAAAGGGGTCTGTCGTCACCGAGTGGACTGGATGTTCATTTAAATAAAGCAAACATCGTGTCATTCTTATTTATGGTAACAATCAGCAATAAAAGCATATTCCAATTGATAATAAAATTATTTTAAATCAAAGTTTCCTGGGGCACTCAGCAGGGTTCCAGCACTTCGACCTGTTGTTGAATTAAGCCTGCAAAACAATCTCGTGAGGGACCCACTAACGCCTTCATGTTTACACAGGAGGAAGCTGAGGCAGCATTTACTAACTTGACTGATAACCATGGCCTCGACTCTGAGTGAGAAGATGTGAGGTGACCGCCCTGTCAGGGTCTTGCAGTGGAGTCAACACTTGAGAAGGAGCCACCTTAAACGTCACCCCGGGGCCCCACACTGACCACAGCTAGGAGGTGGCCCTGCTGCGATCACTCGGCCAAGCTCAGACCTCTGGCTTCCTGACACTTTCCTAACCACCAGGGTCGCCTGTGACCACCATGCCCCTGCCGTGGGGAAGCAGAGACCACCTGATGTGGCCTCACCCTTCAGGAGACCTGAGGCCAGAAGGTCACCCACGCCTGACATATGGCGGGGTTTAAGGCAGAGGGTGGAAGGTGAGCACTTTTTTCTCAGCCAGGGGAGACTGGAAAGAAGACCAAAGCCATGGAAACAGTGTTGTCGTTGGGTTTGGGGTTTTGTTTGGGGAGAATTCTAAAGTACGCGATCTTGGGAAAGTTTTCCCTGAGGTCAGCTGCATCTATCTCGCTGCCTCCTCCATCCTGTCTGGGTCATAAATGTCCCCAACACGTCCTACCCAGAGGGTCTGCATCCACGCAGACCAGGTGCTCTGGGACCTCTGGTGGAAGACATGGGTCAGGCACGGGTAGCAGGCATAGCCCCGGAGGTGAGCAGGTGAGAGATTTTGGGTCCACGGAAGGGGGAGATATCACGTGACCACAGTTAACGGTTTCCCGTAGTGGCAAGATTAAGCCAGTGGGGCGTTCCACTGCATGCTGGTCTCCCCCTTGGGTTAACTGAGGAGGGCATTTAGCTCCGGGCTGACGTGTCTGACACCCGCACAGAAAGGATGGCCTGGGGCCGGCAGGTGGCATGGTGCTTGGGGTGCCGGGCTCCCACATGGCGGGCTGCCCTGGAGCCCCAGACCGGGTGGCTTGCTTTCTCACTTTCTCCCGTTTTCCCTTTCCCTCTCTGGTCAAATTTAAATAATAAAAAATAAAATTATACTTTTTTCTTTGAAGAAAAAAAAAAAAAAAGGATGAACTTCTGCTTCTTTCACCTCTGATGAGCACAGCACACAACTGGCTTCACTTCTTTTGGCTTTGCGAACAGCCGCAGGTACTGGGTCGCTGGGAAAGCCGTGATGCATTTGTACATAGGAAAACACGCCGTGACTTTCCTGACGACCTAATAGACTCTGCATCGCCATGTTGTCCCTCCGAGAGAACAAACTGCTGCTCTAGTTGAGTCTGGGCCACTATGATGGAAGAGTGGCGGCGGGGGGGGGGGGGCCATTGCCAGGGTAGCCGCACCTTTCCTCTCGAGCTGGGGGCTCAAGTTCACCTTTGGGGACCAACAGATGGCCTGGAGGTTGAGGCGGCTGCATCCCACATGGCCGACTACACGGTTCAAGTCCTAGAGAGAAGCGTGCTGGGTACATGTGTATGCATGCCCGAAATCCCGGGAGGAGAGAGAAATGGAGGAGAAGGGATTACGGCACGGCCGAGCCCCCTCCAGCCCGGGGAGTGCTTTCTCACTTTCCCTGAGTGCATGTGCTCTATAGCATGCAAAAAAATCATAATGAAATCCTCTGAATCACCTGACTCTCACCTTCCTACGTGATCACCTTGGCGGACCTTGGTTTCACACAGACACACAAAATATATATATATTAATATATTGTATATTAATATATAATATATAGTATATAAAAAACAAAGTCCTCTTCTGAATTGGGAGTTTTGAGCCAGGAGACTACAATGTTCAGCAAAATGTTGGCAAACAGTCTCTCACTGCAGGAAAACTGGCAAGGGCAGTGGGGTGTTTCACTCTTTTATTCTTCTCTGGACCTCAATATCAATGGCTGAAAACTGGAACCCAGTTCCAGAACCGGAATTCATGGTCAAGGACGTTCCTTTTGCTGGAAGGAAACTGAGCCCTACAACATGGCCGCAGACTGGGGGTTACAGTGTGGGGCCGGGACCCCACGGAGGCTCTCGTCCTGCAGAGCACCCTGCCTGGGTTTGACTGTGCCCTGGGACACTCGGGGAGGGGCCTGTGTCCATGCTGGGAGCGGA